CATATATATTATATATATTTATATTAATAAATAATAAATAAAATGTTAATAAAGAAAAAGAAGAAAAGAAATAAAAAAGAAATAAAAAAAAGACAAAGTTGTTAATATACAACAAATAAATAAAAAAAAATAAATAAAAATATATAAAAATAAGAAAAAAATATATAATTTATTTTTTTTTTATATAATAAGAAAAGAAGAAGAAGAAAGAAAAACTTTTATTTATTTATTTATTTATTATTTATTTTTTTTTCTTTTTCTTCTTTCTTTATTTGTACTGTTGCTTATTTACTCTATTAGTAGAGAAGAAGCTATATATATAATAAATAAATAAATATAAATATAATTAATAAATAAATATATATAAATATATAATATATATAAATAAATAACTTATTAAATATAATAAATAAATATATAATAAATATATAATAAATATATAAGGTGCATATACACCCGAATAACTACGGTGTGCACGCCCTCTCCTGCCCACCAGGACTAAAGATAAATAATTAGAATAAATAAAAGAAATAAATAAAATTAAATAAAATTGAATAAATAAATTTTAATATTAAATTAAATTAATTAATTATAAAATATTTATATTTATTTAATTAATTTAAATAAGTATATTAGTTACCTAGCTGTCGGCAGCAGCAGCTAATGATCTACTTTGTGTGTATTTCCTTTATTTCCTTAAAAAAGGAATTAATTTCTTGATAATAAATTAAAAAATAAATTAAATTAAATAAAAATAAATTAAATTATATAAAATATAGAAAGAAAAGGAAGAAAATAATTCTTTTATCTTTCTTCTTAGCTGTACAAATATTCATAATTAACTGTTGGAGGCCGAGATCATTGAGAGCCCCGTAGATCATGTACATAAATATGCATTTTTTTGTTCATTTTTTATGCTTTTTTTCTATTTTTTTAGATTTATTTAATTAAATTATATGATTATTTGTATATTTTATTGAAAAAATCTAAAAAAAGTAGGAATTTATCGGTAGTTTCTTCTTTATTCCTATATATTCAATTTGTCGTTGGCTGGTCCATTTCTATGGTGTATATATACACCTGGTGTAGCCATAAAGATAATCATCTTATTTAATTAATAAATTCTTTCTATTTATTGTTAATTAAATAAAGTAATTACATAGAAAAAGTGTATTTATTCATAAAAAAGTAGTTTATTTTGTCTTTTATCCCTTTATTTCTTCTTTATACCCATGATAATACCTAAGAGGTTTCTTCTTTTTTTTCTTCTTTGTTATACACTCGCTATAGGCTAGTGACTAATTATATTTATTTATCTTCTTTTTTTCTTTTTTATGATGAAGAGGAGTACATTTATATTCCTTTTCTTCTTTATTGGTACTATATACCCATCATCAATAGTACCAACAGCAGTACTAACACCACCAGCAGCATCAGCATCAGCAGCATCAGCAGCAGCAGCAGCAGCAGCAGCAGCAGCAAATGAGGAAAAGAATAATTTATTACCACCATTTTCTTCTTTTAAGAATTCTTTTATAAAAAGAAAAAGTATTCAATCTATTTCTCCTCATTACCCAAGAGAAAAAAAGAATTTATTTTCTTCTTTTTCCTTAGATACTATAAACAAAAGGGTAGATAATAGCACCAATAAAGACATAAAAAGACAGCAGCAGCAAGAAGAGCAGCAAGAAGAGCAGCAAGAGCAGCAGCAGCAGCAGCAGCAGCAGCAGGAGGAGCCCGAGTACGACATTCCTTTATTGTATGATACATCTTCTTTTATAGATAAAGAGGATGAAGATCTGCAGCGGCTGCTGCAGCAGCACGAGCTGCAGCAGCCGCTGCTGCAGGAGCATCAGTTGCAGCAGCTGCAGGAGTTGCAGCAGCTGCTGCGGCAGAAGATGCAGCAGCAGCAGCAAGAAGAAGAAGAAGCAGGAGGAGAAGAAGAGGAAGAGGAAGAAGAAGAAGAACCTTTTGTTACCGTCATGAGTAACGGTATAAAAAACAACAAGAAGAGCAGCAGCAGCAGCACAACCACCACCACGAGCAGCACGAGCAGCACAAGCAGCAGCAGCAGCAGCAGCAGCAGCAGCAGCAAGATAGAAGAAGAAGAGTATGAAGAAGAAGAAGAACCTGAGGAATTTAAGACAGCAATATATATACCTAAGAAAAGAGGAGAAAAAGAAGAAGAAAAAGAAGAGAAAAAAGAAGAAAAGGAGAAGAAAGGAGAAGAAGAGAAGAAAAAAGAAGAAAAAGAAGAGAAAATAAGAAAAGAACAAGAAGAAGAAGAAAAAAAAAGAAAAAGGGAATTAAAATTAATAAGTTATAATATACAAGAAAAATTATCTATATATGGAGAAAGAAGGAGCTATAAAAGAATAAGTACTCCTTTTTCTTCTTCTTCTTCTTTTTTTTCTTCTTTTTCTTCTTTTTTTTATATAAATAAGGGAATAAATAGTAAAATATGCAAAAAAATACTTGTACGTATTGTACAAGAACCGTACAAAAAACGTACATATATTTCCTCTATTATGCATAGATTAGGTAATGTATTTAATAGACTAAAAGGAGCAGGAAGAATAATAATAAATAAAATAAATAAATTATTTATAAATAATAAAGAAAAAAAAAGGAAAAAAAAAAAAGAGAGTAAAGGTATTATATATATAAAAAAAATAGCTAAATATACATATAAAAAAATACGTATTTTATGCAAAAATATATTACGTACAATTATACATTTTTTACCATTAATATTATTTATAATAAATATATTTTTTTTATCTTTTTCTTTTGTATCCTTAATTACATTACCTAATATATTATCTTTATTTACTTTTTTATCTACATTATTTAATTTAATTAATTTTTTATTTAATACATCTATACGCATGCATATGCATAATATAATAAGAAAAAGTCTGCAGGAAGAAACAGAGATACAAGACATGCAATTGTTTGGACTTAGATGGGGAGAATTAAGTGCAGAAGAATATTTTATTAATACAGGAGGGACAGGAGGAACAGGAGGAGAAGGAGAAGGAGAAGGAGGAGGAGAAGGAGGGAGGAAGGAGGGAGAGGGAGAAGGAGAAGGAGAGGGAGAAGGAGAGGGAGGAAGAGAGGGAGAGGTAGATGATTTAGTTATACATAATATTATTAAGGAAGAAATTAAATTCAGAAAACAAAAAGCTAAACAAGAACAGGAAGAAAAAAAAGAAAAAGAAGAAGAAAAAAAAGAAACAGAAAAAGAATATATTATTAATAAAGAAGAAGATAAAGAGATAAAAAAAGAAGAAGAAAAAGAGATAAAAAAAGAGGAAGAAAAAAGAAAAGAAATAAAAGAAGAAATAAATAAAGAAAAAGAAGAAAAAGAAGAAAAAGAAGAAAAAGAAGAAGAAAAAGAAGAAGAAAAAGAAGAAGAAAAAGAAGAAGAAGAGGAAGAAAATAATATAACTGCAGATACACTAGAAGAAGTAAGAAGAATAATGTATAATAAAATAACAAAAGATAAAGTAAAAATAAATTATAATAAAATAAAAGAAAAAATAAAAAAAGAAAAAAAAAAAAAAAAAAAAAAAAAAAAAAAAAATTTTTTA